TGCACACTGCACAGCCAGCCCCCGCGTTCTGCAGCGCCAGAAGCTCGAAAGAAGTTTTATTTAATTTCAATTTCATTTATTTCGTTTTTAGCCTTTTCCGAGCTGCATTTAGAGCTGCGGAAGGGGCGGGAAGGGCCGCAACACCCCAAGACACTCTGCATCCGTTCAAATTGCAAAGTTCCTGCACACAACACACAGCCACACAAAAAGCTGCATGCGAAATTTCCCAAGTTTCTGCTGCTGCTTCTTGCTGTTTTTAGCTTTCTTTCGAGCTCCTGGAGTGTATGTACACCCCAGGAGCTTCAGGGGGTCCAAAAACAAAGTTTTGTCTTTTGCATTTATTTCGGTCTTCCCCCTATATGCTGCAGCGGAGTGTACGTACACCCCAGAGAGCCTTGCAAAGCAGCTGAGCTGCTGCATGCACTCTTCAAATGCTTTTTTCGCTGTCTTCAGCCTTAGTGGCTTCCTCCTATAAATCTCCAGCTAGCCACAGCTAGCCACGGCTAGCCACAGCTGGCCAAACCTAGCCATAGCTAGCCCGAATAGCCCCAGAAAGTGGTGAAGCCTAGCTCGCGCGTGCCTTTACAGCAGCAGCTGCAGCAGCAGCTGCAGTAGCTGCGGTCTTCTGTGGCTCTTGTGGGCCTCACAGCCACCTTTCTGAGCCGCTTTTCTATCCTCTAAATCGAATTTTATTTATTTAATTTGAAGCGCTTGAGCCTCAGGGGACCCCCCGTATCACTGAAAGCTTTCCTGGGGGCCCTTTAGGGTCTTAAGGGGCCCCCTGGGGGCCCCAGGGGCCCCTTTGGGGCATCAAGGGGCCCCCTGGGACCCCTTGATACGCCCCCAAGGGGGGCCCCTTGGGGGCCCCTTGGGGCCTCCGGGGGCCCTTTTGGGGTCTCAGGGGCCCTAGGGGCCCCCTTGGGCCTTTTGGGGGAACGTGGGGGCCCTCAGAGTCTTAAAAGTATAAGAATTCTTTTTCTGGAAAAGGAAATACTTTTCTAGCTTTCAAAAAGACTTAGGGGGCCCCTGGGTAGGGTCTGTGGAGTCTCAGGGGGGCCCCCAAGTGGGCCCAAAAAGAGGTCCTCAAAGCCCATTGGGGCCCCAGGAGACCCCCATGGGGGCCCCCAGGGGGGCCCCCAAG